CTCATTCACAATAACGACATAAAATTGGTTCGAGGTCAGTAAACACAACCAGAATTAACACATAAGGCGAACCTGATTATAAGGCTCACTGTCGATTTTTGAGAAAATTAAAGGATTTTAAGTAAAAAAAAAAATACAGTACTATATTTAATCACATCTTTATTTGCACACTTCAGATTGAAACTAGTAAATTAGTTTGTTTGGTTAAGTAAGTTGTGGCATGACATTGTTTAGTAATAGTTGTACAAAAAAAAAAAAGTCAAACATTATTTTGAGGTAGAAAAAATAAAAAGTGCATCAACTCTGATGTCTCGACACAAAGTTAGTCTCGAAAGTGGAATAGCTGCAGAGTTTCTGTCTCCAGAGGGAGCTGTGCAACAACTCAAGATGCTTCATGCGGAGTTGGAGTTGATCAGTAGAAACACTAAGAGGAAAGCATAAAATAAATACTGCAGACTTTCAGTTTGAATTAATGAAGGGATGAATTACTGCATTTCATTAAAGTAAAAAAAATATAAATGACGTTTAAATCTGCGTTTTTCACAGCAGTGTGACTTGTTTTTTCCTTTCTAAGAGCGAAAGAGATTTTCTTTAGGGAAGATGTTTGGGGGGAAATTCTGACACTGAAAATAACGAGGACACCCCCACAGCATCTGCTGCGCCCCGACACATAAAGAGACCGAAAAAGACTTGATGCATCGCTGAAGCTTGGTCATGTCACAAATGTGTGTGTGTGTGTGTGTAATCGCAGGTTCCTCCTCCCTTTCGTCTGTGTCACTGATGATTTCAGCCTCAACATCTCACTCTATTTAAAATTAAGAACAAGGAGAATTTTAAAATAGGTCTGTCAAAGAGTTGATTTATTACGGGAATGTTAGTGTGTTTGGGATAAATCTGTTGCAGAAACTGAGGATGTGGTGGTGACAGATTTTAAAGGCGCTCTCAATGTCTGCCCAATAAATGTTTTATTTGATGGGTGCAAAAAAATGAGTCTGCTTTCATTTGTTGTTTTCCATCTGCTCCTGTCAGCTAAATGGAAAACAAACCATCCCTGAAGCTGCATGAAATATTTAAGATGCAACATCTTCAGTCAGCTGAGCTCAGTTTCCACATGCAGCATGAAGTTAAACAGCTCTGCGTTAGATGTAGACAAGATTCAGGGGTGGAAATCACTAATCCATCTACAAACTGAAGCAGAAAGATGAAGACATGTCTTGTTCTCCAGGAACAACAGGAGCAAATAAAGACGGAGATTCCAAAGGAGTCTGGAATTTAGATTTATCAACACAAAATGAGCAAAAACATGATGCAGGAATGAGGAGGAGGAAACAAGCTCAGGGTTAATTTACACGATAGGATGACAAGAGTGTCGTTAAACGGATGGACCATCCTCTATCATTTGTGTACAATGTAAAAGAGGAGATATTTGGATGCAGGTAGAGAGGACATGGAGCGAGGTGGAGGAGGAGGACTCGCTGTGGTGATCCTCGAAAGAAGAAGTTTGATTCAATCAGTGTTGCGGTGGAAGAACACTTGGCTGCAGGTGAAAGACTCGAACCTTCCTTCAGTCGTACATGTTTATTCAAGAACAACTCCCCTCTGTGCTGCTCTTCACGACAAACAAATCCAAATGAGCTCAGTCAAAACGTCTCTTGATGTAAATCCATCTGTCTTTAACCGAGACAACCTCGCTGCTTGTTCTCTGGTGGGTCCACTTCAAACATCACATCCTCTACCACAGGCCTGGGAGTTTGAAGGTTCTGTCCTAGGCCTGCTCTCTTCTGGACAGAGATCTCCGGGATCTGTTGAAGCCACTCATAGTTTGAGGGTCACAGCACCGACTGCACCAATGACCACTGGGACCACTGATGCTTGACTCTCCTCAACTTCTGTATTTCCTCTTTCAGCCCTTGGTATTTCTCCAGCTTCCTGATGTTACAGTCACTTGGGTTTGTTACATCCATCACCATTACCTTCTTCTGTAGCTTGTCGACTACCACAACGTCCGGTTTATTAACCACCACATGTTTGTGAGTCTGGGGAAGTTTCTCAGTATCTTAGCCCCTTCCATTCTCCACCACCCTTGGTGGCATTTCCCACTTTGACTGTGGGATCTCCAGTCCATACTCGGCACAGATGGTCCTGTATATTATTCCAGACACTTGGTAAAAATGTTTCATGGATGCTTTGCCTGCCTGGATCTTACACCCTGCTGTTATGTGCTGATCGCCTCAGGGACATCTTTGCACAGGATCATGTTGTGTTGCCATCGTTCGTCTGTCCTTCAGTCCCGTTTCTCTGGCAAGATTATTAATCTCAATCCCATCATTGAAGTGTTGTTATCTCTGAGGCTGATATATAATTTTATACCAATTAAGACCTCTTGACACTTTTGCACTTTAATTTTGCATAGTTCTTAACAATTCCAAAGCATGCCTTTAACCTTTGTTGACCCGGCAACTAGTCTTAAAACCTTCAAAAATATGAACAGGCGTTTGTTTAAGTTGGTTGATGAACTTTACACGTCGCGGCTTCTCTCTTCTTACACTAAATATCAAATGATTCATTTTCTTGTAAACTAAATCTTCTCAAACCTTTTCTGTCTTTAGGGACACCCACATTTAGCGTGAATCATGGGTTTCTATCTGCTTTGCACTCCGCTTGAATCTGCACCCTTGGAGAAACGCCTCACTGGGCGATTTCTAACCAAAGATTTGTTTAAATATCAAACTCCAACAATAAGCAGTGCAAATTAACATCAACTTTTAGTCAGATGTATTAAACTTTCTGTTTGAACTGACGGATCAGAGGCTGGCTTGTGGAGGTGTTTTCTGTGAATCTAGGCCTTGCGCCCTGAGTGTATTTATGTATCTGTTGGAGTGTGCATGAGTGTGGTTGTGAGCTGGATGGTGGACAGAGTCAGAAACATGTTAATTTAGGATCAAGAACATGAACATGTTGTGTTTACACCAGTTCAAATGCCAGAGTCCCCATGAGTCATTTGGCCACAGCCGGCGAGTGAGAGGGAAGATAGATGGGAGGAGATTGGGGAATGTGTGTGTTGATGCATTTATCCACCTTTTAACACATGCACCAACGATACATCATATCAAACACATATAAACAAAATTACTCTTTGGTTTGATAAATTTCATAAAAGGAGCCTCAACATTCCCAAACTCAGCATCCTCAATGGAGACAAGTTGACGAGGCAGCTGCTCACCATCTCTACTCCAGGGCCACTGTGAATTCATTATTCGACCACACACGCATGCGTGTGACCTTCTCAGCTCCTCGCCCACCCCCCCTGCGGAGTTTGCCTGCTCACTGAGCCGTCCCACTCATAAAACCACCGCCAACGACTCCAGACGCGCAATTTCAGATGACCTTCCATGGAGCAGGTTTTTGATGAGTCTGCGTTCTTTGGGGGAACAGATGATGTGCATCACAGAGGACCTGGCCATGACCTGGACCTTTCAGAAGGAGAGGGGGTGGGGGGGACTCACTTGTGAGTAAAACCCGGCCCACCTTTAACCCTGACACACTCCTCTTCACAAGAACAAAAGACCTCCATCCCACATCCTACCCTGCACCATCACGTCCAGATTGTCCGCTCCGCAGGCAGGTCCACTAGGAGCTGTTAGTCAGAGCAGGACTCGCTGTCCTCTGTGGTTAAAGGGATAGTTCAGAGGTTTTAAAGTGAGATTCAGTGGAAAACAAATAAGCAAATAATGTTTAATCTGTTGCAGATAACTTTGAACAACTTCACTTTGGAATAATGCACTTTTCATTGGAGTGATGAGTTAATGGCTAGTCAGAGCAAGACCAAAGGGGACTGATGCCATCTTGGAAAAAACAAACAAAAAACAACTATTATCTTAAACCATAGCAGTTCATAAAACACTGTTTTACGAACGTTTACACGCATTACGCTGTCATTTACATAAAACTGTGTTTTTTTATTAGCACATGCAGCAGCAGCGTTTTTCTGGATTAACAGTGATGTAGCCATTAATAAAATTAAATAAAAATAAAACTAGTTATTTTTAAGATGGCAATAATCCACTTTGATCTTAAATGCACTTTATTTAATTGTTAGCGCAACAATCCGTTCAAAATCAAACTGATTTGTTTCAAACTGAGCAGTCAAAGAGCCACTGTATGACAGGTAAGATGTTGACTCTTCATAACCTTTTAACCCTACTTTTTACCTGTTTAAGTTTTATTTGCTTTCATTAAAAAACTACCATCCAACAGAGCACAGATTATTGCTTTGATAAATAATCATAAATGAAGATTTATGTGAGTGATGAACTGTACTGCAACAGTTTGTCATCTCTCTGCCTCACACAAAGCAACTCCATGTGCTGAAGATGGCTCATTTTTCTCCACCACTGGGTTTCATCTACATCTCTTGTTCTGAACTGTAGGCAGCTCTCGGCTTCTTCCCAAACTGGCCCACACTAAAAATCAGTGATATTTGGATTTTTATTATTTTCATGCCAAATGACTTTTCCTCGCCTCTTACGTGAGGCCACAGGTGAAGCCCACAGAGCAGCAGAATCCCAGTAATCTGGCTTTTGTTGTTGTATTCTCCATCCCACCAAATCCTCCCACACTGGGCTTTGTCTTAAAGGAGAAATAAGTCATTAATGTTTTTTGTTCTTTCAAGTGTGTAAAAGCAGAACAATTTCCTTAATATGTGAATTTTAAATATTCATCTTAATATAAAAGACTTATCATTTTCATTAATGACTAATAAAGAATTAATCTCTCTTGGCAGGCGGTGATAACCATAATGAGAGTGCTCAAGTCCTCCCTCCCTTTCCTCATGCCTTTCTGGTCGCTTCCTCCGGCGCCTCCCCCCTCCTCTCCTCCTCTCTGACGTAGAGAAGATCCTTCTCCACCCCCGTCTGTGGGCGACCACCCGGCCGCGGATATAAAGGGCTTCCCGTGGAACTGCGCGTCACTGCGTGAAGCAGCAGCAGCACCTCGGACACCAGAGCTCCAGCAGAGATAGCAGCAGGCAGGCACCTCCACGCTGCTCAGGCTAACTCGCTTTCGGCTTTGGTTCGAGATGGAGACACGCTGCACCCTGAGGGGCTCCAGAGCCCGCAACTTTAAAAGTAAGTGTCTCCATCTGCATAAGGAGGGGGGTTAAATTGTCTCAGCAGCATCTTTATTGATCACAATAATCAAAATGTCTCAATCTGAGACCCTTTTCTCCTTTTTATTTTAGTGGGTCTGAATTTTTACGCACTTTGTGCGTTTTTACGCACAGACGCGTTCCTTTAATTTAAATGTGTTTTCGTTGCGCATCATGTGTAACATTTATTTAAAATCAAATGGATCTTATTTGTGACGGTTTTTTTGGCTGTTATATGTGAGCTTTAAAACCACTGTAATATAATATTTAGACGTTTTTGGAGTAAAATAAAACTCTCACAGGATGATGGGATTAAAAAAAAAGTTTCAGCATGAACTTAAAGCCACTGACAAAGTTACCCTATATTTGTCTTTTTGTAAAATCACTTAAACAATATATTTTCTAATCTCATTTTAAGCATGGAGAGTTGCACACATTTCAGAGTTTTAAACCCGTCTCAGCTCGCGTTTGTAGTAAATAAAGCTGAGAAATTTGTCCATTTCTTCTCAAAACTCCAAACTCCTGCAGTTCTGACAGCTCAACAAGAGGTCAAAGGGTCAGACGGTGGAAAATCTTGCTGGCAGTGCATGAATGGAGCTGTATTACTATTTAATGCATGTACTTTTCCCGCTTTGGCTCCTCCTGCAGCAGCTGTTATCTGAGCTCTGCCTAAAAAGCTTCTGAATTACTGATGAGAACAGAAACTGATCTAGGGTTGCTGGTTGTAGTCCCTGTGTGCCCTCTGCAGCAATACACCTTTGAGTGTAAACAAGCTTTTGGTTTAAATAGCCTGGGAACTGGAGAAATAAGTAAAGCTGTGACTCAGCATCTTTTTTTTTAAGTTGATGTATTTGTGTTCGTTTTTGAGTTGTTCAAATCTTGAGTTATGTAAGCACATCACTGACACCTGTGAAAAGTGATCCGGTGGGAATGGGTGATTGATTTTTGTCTGAATTAAACATGAAGCCCACGGAGTTATGGCTGAGAGCGCAGCAGTGTGAAAAAGAATCACAACAACAGCAGCTTGGACTGATGCGAAAGCTGAAACCGGCCTCTCTGTTCTCCTCTGTCACTCATTCTCTGAAACACAGCGCAGTATTTTCCAAACCACATCAAATGACATCAATCATCTCCCTTTGTGTCCTCAGGTGGTTTGTCGCTGTGGCTGATTCTGTGGCTGGTGGTGGTGAAGCCGGGCGGGGTTTCTGCATGCCCCAGGCTGTGTGTGTGTTACCCCACGCCCATGACGGTCAGCTGCCAGTCCCAGAACCTCTCCACGGTACCAGCCGACGTGCCCTACGACTCTCAACGGGTTTTCCTGCAGAACAACCGCATCACTGAGCTTCGCGCAGACTCATTTGGCTTCGAGACCCAGGTGACAATGGTGTTTTTTTTATCAGTGTTGCACAATCAGGTGATTATCAGCTTTTTATCTTAACCCAGGTCTCTGAATCTTCCCACAGGTGCTCTGGCTGTACGGCAACAACATCACGTGGATTGAGGCTGGAGCCTTCAGTAACCTCCGGATTCTGGAGGAGCTGGATCTGGGCGACAATCCCTCTCTGCGACACCTGGAAGGTGGAGCGTTCAGGGGCCTGGAGAAGTTGCAGAGCCTGCACATGCACCGCTGCAAGCTGGCCACTCTCCCCCATGACATCTTCCACAAACTGTACAGCCTGCAGTTCCTCTACCTGCAGGTACGGGCATCCTCCCAACACACACACACACACACACACCTGAAACAACTCTTAGACCATGATGAATTATTGCTTTCACACAGTTGTGTTGCAAAATGTATTTACTGACGCATCAGTCCAGGCTGCACACCCACACAGTGACGCTTTCACACTGCACACGTCAAAGCAGGTTCAGTCAGTTCAACACAACTTCACACAAACTGAAATAAATCCCAAGATAAACGCAGATTTGTCTCGTTTTATTTCACCCAATATTCATTTTCACAGAATCGGAGGATTCATCCGATGATGCATTCAGCAGATCATTTGCCCACACGTTTCCTCAACAGCTGCAGGTCAAAAGAAACAGAATCTCACACAAAATGTAGAGAAATCAATCCGCCAGCGTAGACCAAGAAGATGTGGAAACATCCGCCTCGTCAACCAGTCTAAGAAGAAAGACAATGAGAGAGACGAAACAAAATAAATAGGAAAAATGTAATTTCTTACAATTATTGCTGCTGGTTCAAGTAAAAACCAGCTCTGTTTAAAAGTGTCAAACGCCAATTTCTATTTCAAGTCCAACATAAAAAAACGCAGCTTTGTAGAAATTGAAAAATGATGCTGATTTTACCAGTTCAGTGCACGTCATTGATACATTTGGCAACTGCTCTAAAAAGACGTCTCCCTCTGTTTGTTGGTTTTTTGGCCACCCTCAGTTTTTGGCTGCTGGTAGCAAGATCTCAGCTCTCTTTGAAAACTGTCTTTGTTTCAATTAGACGTTAGTTTCCGGCCAAGATATTATTCCAGGGAAAGCGTAACAACAAAACCCCACAGCCAAACAATCCACGTCACAAATCTAACGTCACAGGAAGATAACTTTATTTTTATGAAGATTATGCTATGAGGTATTTAGTACCTCTGAGCAGTTTTACATTTACTTAGTCTCATTTTCTATGTAAACCACTTCCAGCTAGTTTCTGTGTTTAAAATGTGAATGTAATATGGAAGCAAAAAAAGTGTGTGCATTTTTAAAATATAATTGTAGATTCAGCGGTAAATGAAACTGTAAAACTTTCTCTAATTAATATAATTTTACAAATTAAATAATAAATTTGCACCACCAACCAGACTTCTTTTATTTTGGCTTTGCTGCAGGAAAATCAGCTTCACTTCCTGCAGGACGACCTGTTCTCAGATCTGGTCAACCTCACCCATCTTTTCCTGCATGGAAATCGCATCCGCGCCCTCTCCGAGAACGTGTTCCGAGGCCTGGTCAACCTGGACCGCCTCCTCCTCCACGAGAACCGCATCAGACAGGTCAACCGCCGGGCCTTCCGCGACCTGGGCCGGCTGACCATCCTTTACCTCTTCAACAACTCCCTGGCCGAGCTGCCGGGCCAGGCCATGAAAGACGTGCAGGACATCCAGTTCCTCCGCCTCAACAGCAACCCCTGGTCCTGCGGCTGCGAGGCCCGTCCCCTCTGGGAGTGGTTCCGCAAAGCTCGCATCTCCTCCTCCGAGGTCATGTGCAGCTCCCCCAGCCAGCGTCGCGGCCAGGACCTCAGATTCCTGCGTGAGCTGGACTTTGCCCTCTGCCCTGTGCCTGACCCCGGCTCCATGGCTGGAAGCACCACGACCACCTTCAGCACCAAGACCCGTTGGTGGTTCTCCAAGCACAAGCCCGCATCTTCATCAAAGTCCACCTACCAGAAGAGCTCGGAAACCTCAAAGACCTTCCCCTCCTATGCCGGAAAGCCTCAGTACGTCCCGAAGATCGCCCCGGAAACCCTGCCCTCCAAGTACGAACTGTCGGAGGCCGAAGCGGCGCTTCCCAAACTGGATCCAGAAGAATACTGGGCCAACTACGGCAATGAAGACTCCTCCATCCGCTGCTTCGAGCTGGAGTGTCCTCCCAGCTACGACAGCGCAGCGTTCCCCTCCTCCTCCTCCTTCACCATCACCCCATCAACACTCCACCTCCTCTCTGTCTCCATCCTGACATTCTCACTCCACCTCCTTTTAACCTGAGCTCCTTTTCTCCTCCCAAACCTTTTCTTCCCTCTATTTTCTCCTCCTGCTCTTTCTTATTTAAACTAAAAACTGCATCTCGACTCTTTTCGGTCGCCTCCCGGACGTTCCGGGGGCGTTGAAACGTCGACGCAGGCGACGGACGAGGCCGCAGGAGGAGGTCAGACGAGACAAAGCAGCGAAGGAGGTCGTTACGTCGTTAGGACGGCTGCTCGTTGGTAGATCAAGCTTTAAAAGGCAGGAACCACATGATGGAATCTGACTTTGCAGGTAGAGAGAAGCAGAAACCCATCGTTTAAACCCCGGTTGATGTTCACGATAATGCTCTCAGCTATGATCGTAGTTGATTTAAACTGGGTTTGATGGTAGGTTTGGCACCAACAGTAAGACGTGAAGTAGAGATTCAGTCTCTGGTGTGGTCCCTGAGATACGAGCTTGTAAATAACACAACACCATCACTGTACATAACAAACTTGCTGCACTCTGTAATTTAAAACCAGCTGGATTTGTACTTTCCTTGCAGACAGAGGAGGCGGTTAGATCGTTAACGAATGGCAGACTAATTAAACCACTTTCACTTTTTTTTTTTCCATCTGTCTCTTCATCTCCAAACTTGTTCCAAACTGAAGGACAGTTAAGATCTATGAGGAAAGTTAAAGCAGCAGTGCAGATAGATTCTCCACACAAACTTGTGCTTCAGGGTCTGACTTTGGTGGTTTTTTATGTTTTGTTGTTGTTGTGAGTAAAGGTTGAAGGCAAGAAGAAGAAACTTAGTTTATTTCTTTCCAGGCGTGACTAAATGACAAACAAGTCTTTTTTCATAAACTTTTTCTTCTCACTAAAACCATATCTGTCATCATGAAGCTGCACCTTCCTGACTCGGGTGTGTCACTGTTGTGTGTTTCTCATCAGACGTTTGTTTGGTTTGAGCCCAGCCTGAATCCTAACTGTGTTTCTGAACAGAACATGAAAACTACTGTGACGTTGAACTTTTTTACTTTGTTTTTCAATAGAACAAACTGTTGATGTGTTTGGTTTTATTAATAAAAAAAATGAAACAAAAAGTGAGTGTCCTTTTATTTAATTTTTCTTATTTAGTTCCAAACCAACAAAGTCCATGTGCAATAATCCAATTTCAGCACAAAAAAAAAAGAAACTGTCCAGATGACCTGACTGAAAATTGTTGGATTGTATACCTGGATTATTGAGCATGGACTTTGTTGGTTTGGAACCAGTTTGACATGACTGTCGACGAGGAAGAGGGCCGGCACTGGAGGAGGGGGAGTGCCAAAGACACCATCTTAGCACCAACATAACTGGTTTGTTCCACTTTGGAGTAAGCTGTCGGGGGAAGAATCAATTTTGTGTTGTGTGTTTCCTGGACTGATGAAGCCTTCTGGATGGAAAGTGAAACGTTTCAGCACAAAAAAAAAAAAAAAACTGTCCAGATGACCTGACTGAAAATTGTTGGGTTTTCTTGTTTAGGTATTTTTTCCTCTCTCTTGCTCGTTCTCTAAAAAAGTGGGAAACATAAATATAAGAAAATGAGCAACAGAAATATAAGATAAGATGAGATAAAACTTGATTGCCCACCAAGGTGGAAATTTTCCTTCGGCTCTCCAACCATAAAATAAAACGCATTCATACAATCAAAATATCAACAATTTGTGCATAAAATAAAACACTTTGCATATCATAGGTAAATGTGCACAAAAAACAAAGGTCTGTTTCGCATAAACCCTGGATAAGGGATTAATCTGAGATTCAGGCTTCATTCTGTTTTTTAATTTGTTTTTTTTTTTCAGATCCATGACCGCCGATAAATTACCATAGAAACAGCAGTTAGCTTAATCCAGGCTAGATTAACAGTCAAATTTAGTCAATCCTGAAGATATTTCATTACCCAGTTACAACAAACCCAAATAAGAAATGTTATTTTGTACTGAAAACACCTAATCCACGTTTCATTCAAGTTCATGAATGCAGAATTTTTATTATTTAGCAATGAAATAGTAAAAACCTGGCCCACGGGGGAAAAAACAATTATAATTGACTCTAACCGTCATCAGTTGCATCATTAAAGTGACTCACAGTGACAGCTGATAAAAAGATTGCTGCTCGTTTTAATGTATGCTAACAGATTTTGTTGCTCCTCTGTAGCCTGATTTAGTGTTGATATAAAAAGTCAGGATGACGAGGTTGGTTCAAAGAGACAGCTCAGGAGTTGCACAAACAAATTATAATAATCAGTGCAGGATAAAGTCCCTGATACAGTTTTGTTTTTTTGTTTAGTCATTTGATTTATTTGTTTCTGGTAAAAGTGTCAAATCAGTCGACTTAAAGCTAAATTAATGAGGGAGGCGTTAAGTTGTCTGTTGCCCACTGGTAGGAATGACTTCCTGTGTCTTCCCGTGGAGCGTCCTGGTTGTAGCAGTCTCTGCCTGAAGGAGATCCTGAATTTTGTCCATTTGTCTCCACCCCCACACAAAACTCGTGCACACTACAGCAAACAAAAAACACTGACCACCATCGACTCAGAGAACATCCTCAGCATCGTCCTGCAGATGTTGAATGACCTCAACCATCCATTACCTTTACCAACTTCTTCCTTTTTAGGTTGTGGGGCGGTCACTGGTGCCAATATCCAGCCGTCACTGTGCGAGAGGCGCTGGACAGGTCTCCAGTTCATCACAGGGTCATATAGAGACAAACAACACTCACACCTATTTTAGTTTTTAGAGTCACCAATCAGCCTAACATGCATGTTTTTGGTCTGTACAGGGGGAGTACCTGGAGAAAACCCACTCGTGCATAGAGAGAGCATACAAACCACCCAGATAGCTCCCCAGCTGGGATTCGATCCAGCAACCTTTTAGCTGAGAGGCAACAGCTCTACCGATTGAGCCACCGCCCAACATCCTGCAAGCTCCTCAGAAAATAGAAGTGACTCTGTTCCTTCTTGTAGACAATAAGTAATCCAGTTCTGTTTGCCTCATTTAAATTATGTTCAGTGTGGCCAGAAAGATTCATGGTTCCATTCTATTCAAACTTTATCTAAACCAATTTAGAACTGATAAATGTGTTTATGATCTAAATCAAGGCCTCATTTCACAGAGAAAACATTGTGCTCTTCCTTTAATCATGTTAATCTTGTTTCTTGAAAATTGTGTTGGGTGTTTCAGAAGTTTTCACTCTGGCAAATAGACAAACACCAGTGATATTCCTTTAATTTGACTAAACATTGACTAAACTCTAATTGCTCCCTGTTCCTACGAGGATAGTTTTTAAAATTCTTCTGTTGACCTTCAAGTGCCTAAATGGCCTCGCACCTCTTTACCTCTCTGAGCTTCTGGAACCATACGTTCCCTCTCGGGCCCTAAGATCATCTGGTCAGCTGCTTTTGGCTGTTCCAAAAACAAGACTGAAGCTCAGAGGAGATCGGGCTTTTTCAGTCATGGGCCCCAAACTGTGGAGCAACCTGCCCCCCCCCCCCCCCCCCCAACATCAGGCAGGCCACCTCCCTTCCTCATTTCAAATCCCTGCTAAAAACACATCTGTTCTCTCAGGCATTTCATACAGTGTAAATTGATCTAGTGTTTTTTTAATCTGTGACCCTATGTTTTAAATGCTTTTTATTAATTCTTCAGTTATTATCATTATTAGTGTATTGTATATATATATGTTTATATATTTTTCTCTTTAATTTACTCATTGGTTGTTGTTGTTAAGCACTTTGATAACAGGTTCTGTTTTAAATGTGCTCTATAAATAAAGTTGACTTGACTTGACTTGACTAAACTGAGGCCTGTCAGAGATTAAACATTTGACAGCTCGTCGTCTGGGTTTTAGGCACTGAGCTGTTGTTACTTCTATGTGTGTGTGTGTGTTTGTGTGTGTGTGTGCGTGCGTGCGTGCGTGCGTGCGTGTGTGTGTGTGTGTGTGTGTGTGTGTGTGTCAGAGGGCTTGGTGGGTGGGCTGAGATGTGATTCAGGGAAGAGGCAGAATGGGGAAGATGAAAAATGTGCCGACATGTCCCAGAATCAGCACACCCCCTCAACAGATCTGTTCTCACCATGCTAATGGCCATGGCCTTGATGATGCACACAGTCATCCATGTGCAAGGACACATGCACAAACATACATGCTAACACACACATGCAAACTGCAAACTTCATGCAGGTTTGGTCAAACTTAAATATCCTATTACCGTAACATTCGGGTTCCGGGGCTGAGGGATGAAGCCATAGTTGCAGTTAACTGTTTTCTTGTTTCTGCTCCCTCACCTTGCCACACCCTGTTATACCTGTTCCCTGACAGACCTGTCAAAAAAGTTTAATGTTGTTATTGTTTTTAGTGTTTGAGCTAAGCTAAGCTAATCAGCCACTGTTGCTAAAGCTAAACGTCTACTACACATGTGCAAAACTGGCAGCAGTTTCCTCACTTTTACTCGGAAAGAAAATACATTATTACTGTTAAATATTTGAGATTTTTCTTTAAATATATTTTTTTAAATCACTGATTTTAGTTAAATATAGAAGTATTATGGGAAACAAAGTGATTAGTGTTGATTCAGTCCTGGTTTTTACAAGGATATTTAAAGCTGAAAAGCCATCAAATAGCTACAAATGTTTTGCATGAAAGTTTGTTTTAAACCATCTTTTTAGGATGTTATAAGAATGTTTTGTAAATTATAATAGTCACAATTTTTTCACAATAAGAGGGAATGCACATGCCAAACTTTCTGTCTCCTTGCAGTGAGTTCATTATTTCCATATTGTACGTTTCCTCTGTTGTAGCGGAGCTGTAGGCGTTTGCCGTACTTGCTTCATAACAATTTGCTTGTACACTTATAGGGTTTTTCCGGAGTAAAACCAGGCCATTAGCTTTGATTTTTTTATGAAGCATGCCCACTCTTTTTTCCATCCAGCTCCCAGCCTCATGTTTGAAGGCTCTGCTACGCTTTTCTTTCCCTCTTTTATATCTTTATGAATTACTGTCACTCACTGTCTTTGTCCTAAACTCTCG